TCACCACCCTTCCCAAATACAATCGGGAAGAGTTTTCATCCCATCCCACCCCTCGTCCTCGAAAATTTAGCTTGAATTCCTCCCCGAAATCGGTGGGGACAAGCGAGGACCCATCCCCACAAAAAAATTACAAAAATCGGTAAATATAGATAAAAAACAAAAACAGTAATTTTACCTTATCTAACTTGTAGGTGAGGTTTAAAAATAAAATACGAGAAGATACAAACCTGAAGGTTATACACTGAATTCATGCACCAAATGACAAGAAAATTCTGACGGGCGATAATATTAAGTTAAATTAATCAATGGTCAGGATTTTATTACGTCATTTAGTGTAGAATTCGGTTGCGCTACTCGATGACTGTAGTATTACTTAATAAAATATGGGGGGCTAGATATATCCCCTAAAATAAACAAGTTACAAAGATCCGGATCCGAGTAAAATAACAATGACACATAATAACCGGCCCAATTCGGCCCACAATCGTCCCCGTAATTGAAAGTCTGAAATGGTCATCTTCACTGAATCTGAATCTTCCTCCTTGTAAGCGGAAACTCACTCTTCCTCTCCTCGAATTCAACGACAAAGCCTGAAACTTTGAAACTTCCCCCACTTTTCACACATTTAATGGAGCCTCAAGATCAGCAGCATCCGTGGTGCTAATCACGGGCTGTTCTCAGGGGGAATAGGCCACGCGCTGGCACGTGAGTTCGCTGCAAAAGGGTGGGGTGGTGGCTACCAGCAGGTCCACGACAGCCATGTCTGACCTCGAACAAGACCCCAGGTTCTTCCTCAAGAACTTGATGTTGTTCGGTGAAAGTGTGAATAGTGTGTGTCAAATGTTGTTGAAAAGTTCGGAAAAATTGATGTTTTGGTTATAATGCTGGAGTTCAATGTGTTGGCCCGCTTGCTGAGCTTCCATTGTCAGCCATGGAGCAAACTTTCAACACCATGTTTATGGTAATTTTAAGTTATTATTTAATTGGATTTGGATTGGCTGTAAAAATTGAACTTTGAGATTTTTCATTGCCTTGCAAGTGTTTTTTTTGGAATTTAATGTTTAGATTGCTATTAAATGGATTAAATTTAGAATAGCTATTATGCGAAGTTTGAATTTGGTGCTCATTATAATTTGTTTGATTATATTTGTGGTTGTTTCTTTGGATTGGTGTTCATGATCATGGTGGGTTTTTTTTTTTTTTTTTAATTTTTAGTTTGTGTTTATAGTTAGATTGCTACTTAAAAGATTTTAACTTGAATACTATTAAGGGTAATTAAAAGATTAAGCTGTGATTTTAATTTGGTGCTATTATAATAATGATTATTATTCTGATCAATAGCTGGATGTTAAAGATGGCTGCAGATGAGTTTTGTGTTTAGGTTTGTTGTTTGGGTGTTTAGATACGAGAGATATTGAACGGTGTGATGTGTAATTGAAACTTAAGCCGTGATTTTGTCAGAATTGTGTATCCCTCTGAGTGATGTACTTGAGATATATATCCGATGGCTATCCAATTAGTTATCTAGCTACCAAGGTCATAGGTTCTAGCAGTGCATCAGTTAGAACTTGTTGATCTCGTGAGATAGATTGGACGGTTTTTGGTACCAAAAGAAGAAAAAATTACGTAATTGGAGTGTTTACTGTAAATTGTGTGATTATGTGTGTGTAAGGTCTGGAACTGACAATGGAGAATCTTGCATATAATTGTGGAGTGATTATGAAGAAATAAAGAAGTCAATGGTTTGCACGATAATGCAAACAACGAGAAAAAATATATAGTAGTTGAAAGGGAAAGTAACATTGTTGTACCAGGGAACTCTGCAAGGAAAAACAGAACTTTACAACTTTTTCTTTTACAAATTTCATTTTGTCGTACTTGAACTAATATATATTTTTGCCTTGATTTACTACTAGTGATTATTCTTTACTCTTGAGCTTGTAGAGCCTCTTCTCGCCAGCTGTTATTGAATGTCTCTTTCTTCATGTCCAAGTGAAAATTTTATTATGTGGTCGATTTGCCTTTCGGGAAACTAGTATCTAAATAAATCTATGTTTTCTACTTGAATTGCATAAGTAATTGGATTCAATGTATTTCGCATGAGGTCATAGTTTTATCATTTTGTTGATAACATTTTCAGAATGAACTATTACCGTAAGAGTAGGGGAGAAAAAAGATAGTTTTGAGCTGATTTTGTCCACTTTCTACCAACTTTGTCATTTTGAACTTGTATAAAGTAGTTCTTCACTGAGATTTGCATGACGGTAAAGAAAAATGCTTCTGCACTTCTGCTGTATAATATATGGAACTCCACTGCATTAATCTGAACTAGGTAAGATAATCATTGAGATTGATTTTACGGAGAAAACAAGATCTTGCGATGGTTTGGGTCAATCGTACTATTCTAACTAAACTAGGTAAGTTAATCAATTGAGAATGGTTTTGGAGTGTAGAAAATACTGCTGATGTCTGAGAGCCGTGTTATCTGTGTACTTAGAATTGGTAGATTTAAAGTTCATGTTGGTATATTGCATTCTGAAAGCAGCTCATATCTCATGCGCTTAGTCCTTTAGCATTTGCTATTGAATGGTGTTCTTTAGTTCTCTGTCTGAGGAATCATTTCCTATTGTGTGTGCAATCATTTAGTGCTCCAAGATCCTCTTCCCCCTCATGACTGATACTATTCTGTTAGGTCTCTGAGGATGGTTTAAGGTTGTTCCCCACATGGCATCCAGGAAAAAGGGAAAGATTGTAAATGTCGGAAGTGTTAGTGCATACCTTCCTGCACCGTGGGCTGGGTTTAACAGCAACTAAATGTGCTCTTATTCACTGACTGACTTTGAGGTTTGTATATCACAGATACCATTCTGTTTCGCCAATCTTGTAGCTCTAATAACACACAAACGTCATGAAAATATCTGTAAGATTACAACATACCTTTCTTTTGTTTTAGTATGTGAATCTGTTACTTTCCATGTTTCATTGTTGCCGAATGAATGTACCTTAGATTAAATTGATTTTTGGTGTAGATATATTCCACGAAAGATGTGATTTCAATAGGGCTGATCACTTTGTGTGCTCATAAACCTCTTGAAATTATATCTTCACAATTTGATGTCTAATGCAGACTGGAACTAAGACATTTGGATTGACGCCCTCACCTCACATGTCGTACTGGGGCTATAACATCCAACATAGGAAAGACTGCCGTTTCCAACTACAACCGGATGCCTGAATGGAAGCTATACAAGCCATTTGAAGAAATTATCAGAGAGAGAGCATACTTTTCACAGACATCAAAGTCGACCCCTGCAGAAGTGTTTGCAAAGGATACTGTAGCGGCAGTGATGAAGAACAACCCCCCAGCTTGGTTCTCCTCCGGTCGATACTCCACCATCATGGCAATTGTATACCATATGCCCACTTTTGTTAAAGATTTTATTGTCAGAAAAGCAATGAAAGGCTGAGTTCTGCATTGTCTGGACTTGTCTGTTTTATCCATCTCAAAATGTCACTTAAACATTATACAGTTACTGAAATATCCTTGTGCATCACCATATTGAGAAAACACTGAACATCAATGATGTTTATGATAATTATAAAATAATTGCTGATAATCTATCGATCATGACAGTTTACTAAAAGACAAAAATCAGCCAAAAAATTGATAGGCTGAAAAGTTGATCATGCTGATAAGCACAGAATGGTAGATATAACAGGACCAAATGAAAGCTCAATCACATGATGAAAATCTATAAAACAGCCTAAATGTGAGGGATTTGCATTGAAAACATGAAGATTGAATCATTAAAAATAATTTTTATTCAAATATAAGTTGCTTAGATAAATATTTTGACAGTTCACAGTTTGACACCTTAAGCAACTCTTCATGCACTTTCTTTAAATCCAACCTTCAACCTCTTCCTTCAACACAAAAAACTCATCACTCTCCTCTCTAAAACAAACCCATTTCAATGGAGCTTCAAGATCAAAAACCAGTTGTGCTAATCACAGGCTGCTCTCAGGGAGGAATAGGCCATGCATTGGCACTTGAGTTTGCTAAAAAAGGGTGCCATGTTGTGGCCACAAGTAGGTCAAAGAAAACCATGAAAGATCTGGAAAATGATCCAAGTTTCTTTCTGCATGAACTTGATGTTGTTTCAGATGAAAGTGTGAAGAACTGTGTGGAAAAAGCTATAGAAAAATTTGGAAGAATTGATGTCTTGGTTAACAATGCTGGAGTCCACTGTGTTGGACCTCTTGCTGAGCTTCCATTATCAGCTATGGAGAAAACTTTCAACACCAATATTTATGGTAAGTATAGTTAAATTTCTTCTTTTGTTTAATACTTTAATGTGATGATGACACAAAAAATTCTTAAGTGCGGACCTGAAATCTGGACTTGAACTCTTGCTAGCAAAGAGTCTACGTCCAAATTTTAAGAAAATCAGATTGTCTGCAAGAAAGATTGATACTTCGATTTCGTATTCCAATTATACAATTCCATCCATGTTCGCTCACAATTAGGTCCCATGAGGATGGTTCAAGCTGTTGTTCCCCACATGGCAGCGAGGAAAAAGGGAAAGATTGCCAATGTTGGAAGTGTTAGCACAACTCTCCCTGCACCATGGGCTGGTGTTTATGCTGCCTCTAAATGTGCTATTCATTCACTCACCGACACCTTGAGGTTTGTATATATGTCCCAAACAATTTGAATAATAAACTTTACTAAACACGCTATAGCTTTTTTATTATATATTGATCATTTCTATCGTAGAAACGGTCATAAATCATCAGCATGAAAGCTACAGCAATCCAAAACTGCGCAACAAGTTGCCACTACTTTGAGATTAAAGTGATTTTTTATTTGGTTATTCATTTTTCTTTTATTCTCAAAATACTGATATCTAATGCAGATTGGAACTCCGTCATTTTGGAATTGATGTAATTAACATTGTCCCTGGGGTTATAACATCCAACATAGGAAATTCTGCTATTTCCAACTACAACCAAATGCCTGAATTGAAGCTCTACAAGCCATTTGAAGAAGCTATCAAAGAGAGAACAAATTTATGGAAAACATCAAAAACGACCCCTACAGAAGTGTTTGCGAAGGATACTGTGGCCGCGGTGATGAAGAAAAACCCCCCGGCTTGGTTCTCATCCGGTCGATATTCATCCATCATGGCAATCTTGTATCATATGCCCATCTTTGTTAAGGATTTTATTGCAAGGAAAACAAAGAAATGTTGAGTGACCTAATTACTTTAGGTTTCATGTATTGATTCTTTTTGTAAGCTCTCAAAATGTCACTCATCATAATATTATGTCACTTTGGTCCTCTTGTTGAGGAATTATTATCATACTATCCGCTAGTAAATAAATATCGATTCATCGTTAAAGTATATCATAATTATGATATAATTTTTTTTCATCTAAAACACGCTTAACAGTTTAAGAGCTCACATAATATTTAACTAATCTTCACTTAATCTTTCTGATTAAGACAAGATACCACAACAACATTATTAGAATGATAATATATTAGGATATCAAAAAAACTTTTCAAGAGTTTCGCTGTTCTTTCTTTTATATACAGAAAGTTCGTATGTTTAATAATATTCTTGTATTAAGCTACTAAAATCTATTAAATATATTACTCTAATATGTTTTCAAGTCAAATAAATGTTGTCTTTTTGCTTCAATCAAATCAAGTGATTTATTTAGCTGTTTTGTACAAAAAAAAAAAAAAAAAAACACATCGTACATATCAGCCACATGCATGAGAATAATACAAAAACTCAATAACTGTGCATGTTCCATAATCTAATATATAAAAATTCTTCAAGATTCAAGATAGATTTTTTAAATGTTTAACGTGTAACTTGATAATTATATTTTTAAAGAATTATTAAGTAATATTTATTGGCATCAATGAGTGCCTCTTACTTAATATGAATATAATATATTGTATCATTCAAGGATATATCAATTTTGTAAACACAATTTAGATATCCAGTATAATTTATTTAGAAATGATCTGAAAACAAGATCCAATCTAACCTAAATGTGAGGGATTTGTATATTGAAATTTGGAAGATAAATCAATAGAATAACATTCAAATACACGTTACCGATCAAAACGGATAATTTCTCTGATTATTTCAAGCTATACTTATATATATAATTTGACAGTTCAAAGCTGACACTTGAAGCTACTAGTCCATGCACTTTCTTTAAATCCAAACTTAAACTTTATAATTTCAACACAAAAATCATAACCCATTGTAATGGAGGTTCAAGATTAGAAGCCAGTTGTGTTAATCACAGGGTGTTCTCAGGGAGGAATAGGGCACGCATTGGCACGTGAGTTTGCTTCAAAAAGGTTCCATGTTGTGGCCACAAGTAGGTTTAAAAAAAACCATGAGAGATCTGCAAAATGATTCCAGGTTCTTTCTGCATGAACTTGATGTTGTTGTAAGTGTGAAGGCTGAAACGATGCCGTATTACTTAACTAAGTAATACGCTGTCGTTTCAGGATAATAGAAGAATTAATCTGGACCATCAGTTATCTTGAGATCCAACGACTGCAGTTAGTCCAAGTCTGGTCAACGGTATTTAAGCATGTAAGTCTTCAGTCTTCATTCAGGCTCGATAGATTGATACTGTGTAAAGGGAATTGCTCTCTTAGGATTTTTTCGTTCAGTTCTGAAATCGTAATCGTTGTAACTAGTTTGAGTGATTGTGTTAGTCATTCTGTGAGTTTTCACAACAATTGTTTTAGATGAAAACGTGAAAAATTGTGTGGCGAATGTTATCAAAAAGTTTGGAACAATCGATATTTTGATTGACAATGCGAGTTCCATGTGTTGGCCCTCTTGTTGAGCTTCCATTATCAACTATGGAGCGAACTTTCAACACCAATGTTTATGGTACGTATAATTTTATTATTTTGTTTCTTTGGATCTGATGTTTGGTAATATGTTTTTGATAATTAGTTTCACGAAAATTCTCAGATGTTGATACAAAATTCGGATAATCAATCGAGAGAGTAATCGAGAATGGTTTTATTATATTTAGTTCTATTTTTTTAACAAGCTTGGGGTTTTTGTTGTATTTTCATACAATGATACTTAATTTTCTTTGATCATACAATTCAATTTTATTAATAGGTCCCATGAGGTTGGTTCAAGCTGTCGTTCCTCATATGGCATCTATGAAAAAGGGGAAGATTGTAAATATGGGAAGTGTTAACGCATTCCTCCCTGCACCTTGGGCTGGTGTTTATGCGGCAACTAAATGTGCTCTTCATTCACTCTCTGATACCTTAAGGTTAGTATGTTTGAAGTAATCGCAAAGCTTAAGAAATAATCACTTCATTCTTATTTAAATCAATCGCACTGTCTTTTCACAGTAGAAAAGATTTGACCAAAACTTTTTCGGTCTTCTTAACCGTCAAAAAGACACCTTTAGATAGATCACCAACAAATGATTCTAATCGGTCTTTCCATAGAGCCTGATCACTTTTCTCATGAAATTATTGTCATATTTTTTATCTCTAGTGTATAGATTGGAACTAAGGCATTTCAGAATTGATGTCATCAACGTTGTCCCTGAGGCCATAACTTCCAACATAGGATCCAACTACAACCGGATGCCTGAATGGAAGCTATACAAGCCATTTGAAGAACTTATCAAAGAGAGAACAAACTCTGTGAATACCCTAAAATCGATCTCTGCAGAGGTGTTTACGAAGGATACCGTGGCGGTGGTGATGAAGAACAACCCTCCGGCTTGGTTCTCCACCGGTCCTTACTCCACCTTCATGGCCATCATGTACCATATGCCCCTTTCTGTTAAAGATTTTGTTGCGAAGAAAATAACCAAGTGTTGAGTACTTCTAGGTTGTCTAGAGTGAGTGCCAGAGACGTATATTTTATTCAGTAGCAGCTCTTAAGCCTTTATATTTTCTTATGTAAGTAATAATAGGTATATATGATGTGTTACAAAATAAGTAAATTTTTTTTTTTAAGGTATCTGAGGCAATGTTCTAAAAGCCGGACCAGGCATTCGCCTGGTCAAGGGCCCGATTCCCAGGTAATCCTTATAGATTTGAAATCCAACAAAAACACCCATACAAATTTTTTATGCATCCTTGAAAGTTTGAAATATAGCAAAAACAACCCTATGATCTGGGCAGTCGTGCAAAGAGACTGATGGCGACAATGACTATCGACGACCAATTGGAGTTCAGAATGCTTGGGCTTTTGATGTAGAGATGTCAACGACTCTTATTGTGGTGTCAGGGAGCTCGAACGGCGTCAGAATCTGTCGAAATCAAAGGAAAGGCAGTCAATTGTGCGAACAATAGGTGGACGACAAGCGACAAATGATAGGACAGCGACCACTAAAAATGGATATTTTGCTATGGAGATGCCGACGAGTCTTATGGTGGTGTTATCTCCCTCGAAAGATAGGGGTGGGTGAGTCCGGGTACCCGCCCAAAATCAAAGGAACCGGAATCAGAACCGTCGGTTCCAATTCCTTAAAACTTGGAACTGGAACTTGTGTACCCTGAAAAATATCAATTACCCAATTTTTTTTAAAAAGACAAATAAACCCTTATAAAATTACAATTATTCCCCTAATAGTTAAGTGCAAAACATTAAATAATATATTTGTTTATATTGACATGATGCTTGATTATAAGTATTTAATTATTCATTTTCACCGATAATAAACATTTAAACGCTATTATTTAACATAAATGTATTAATGTATATTAATTTCTTAATCAAATAATAAGTGAAACTTAAATATTAAGAAGAATATTTTTAAAAACTGATCTTTTAATGAAAATTAATAAGATTTTTGATAGTAAGATAAAAAAACCAAAATTTTCTTATATATTTATATGATATGTAAAATATAAAAAAACCCCATATGCAAAATATTAAAAAAAAAACCCATATTCTTTAATATTATATCAATTTAGTCCTGGTTCCCGGTTCTGGTTTCGGTTCTTTTGTTTTGGAACTAGAATCGAAACCGCACGGTATCGGTTCCAATTTTTTAGAACTGGAACCTACCCTGTTACGACCGGTTCCGAAGAGGAACCGAAACCAACACCCAACTACCCATCGGTTCCGGTTCTATCCTAAAATTTTTCCCACCCCTATCGAATGATGCTAGAATCCAATAGGATTGACTCGCACTTGGATCATGATTCGACACAATTCTACGGTTCAACTGTGGGTCAATCCGGCTTAACTGCAATTTCTGGTTTTAGGGAACAAACGGACAAAAGAGGACATCCGTTTTGATCCGATCCAGTTATCAAAACACTTATTTGAGTTATCCATGCCCACATTAAAGCTTGTCTAATTCTTAAAGTCACAGAACACCAAAATAAGTAAATTTTCATCTATTTATTAAATAAATAATTACTATGTACCTTCAAGTTAATAAAAAAAAAATTGTATAGCTACTAATATGACCACATGACCCACCAATCCATTTTTATTTTTAGTATTTTATGAATCTTGAAATGATTAAGCTGTAGTTTGATTATGAATTTAAAATGATCTAAAATATTATAAATTTGAATTTTCGATATTGGTTGATGGTACATATGACATGTTTATCTGCATTCTTATCTCATTAATTAGTTGTATATATAACAAGAACAATGTTACACTTACATCATTCTTTTACACAATTTTTATTACATCACGATGTGACATATGTCACAATCACATAAATTTTTAATTATTTTGAATTTTTATTATTATAATAAAATTTATGTAGTTGTGACATATGTCACATCATGATGTAATAAAAATGGTATAAAAAAGTAGTGTAAGTATAGCATTACTCATACAACAAATACGCATACACTTTTTTTTTCCCCTTAAAATATCAAATTACCACTTAGACCAAAGACCTTAATTTTGCTTTTAGAGGAAAAAANTTTTTTTTGGAAAAAGACAATTTGGAAGACCAAACATTAACTGTGGCTCATTTTCAACCTTTGGATTTGGTGGATGGCGAATCTTTAAACTATAATATAAGGACCGAGAAAAAAGACTAACATTACTACAATAATTTAAGCAGTAGAAGCTGATAAAACAAAGTCAACCAGATACATAGGTGGCGTAGTCGACCTGGTTAACGTGAAAACGACTACTTTCAAGTAAACCTACAAGTTCAGCCGTCTCTCATTTCTTTTTAATTATCTTTATAACCGACACTCAAAATGTTTATTAATTAAGGTTCATATAAGTTCAATGATCTTGGTCACTTAAAAGCTAGATTCAAAGGTCAAAGATCCCCCCAATTTAGTCATTTCAATTTCTTTTCGAGCTTTTTGCCATTTAGTATTAAACGACTTTTTCCCACCCAAGGTTTTGGACTAATGAAATTTTTGTTAAATACTATTATGTTCGTTGTGAAGACAAAAATACATTTCTTTCTTCTTCTTCTCTTCCCTTTTCTCTTTTTAGCTACTGGTGGGAGATGTGTTATAGTGTTTGGAAGTTGTGTGGGAGGTGGTTAGGAGAAGGCTAGATTGTGTTTGGATGGTTGGGGGGCTGCTTGCTACTAATAGCGGATCCAGAAATTTCACTCGATGGAGACAAAAAATAAACAAAAAAAAAAAAATTAAACCAATCAAAACTATATATTTTTTTTTTCATTAGGATGAACTTCAGCAAAAAGTTACAAAATATAAATATATATATTCAAAAAACACAATTTTTTTACAATTGTCCTCGACGAGTTTTCATATTTTGAAAACGTTGGATAATCATCTCATCGTCAATTGTATCAAATGCATCTTTCTTAATATAGGTGACCAAGCAACCATTCATCCATTGATCTCCCATTTGATTGCGTAACCGACTTTTCACAAGATTCATTGCAGAAAAAGCCCTTTCAACGGTCGCAGTCGCAACTGGTAAAACCAATGTAAGTTTCGCAAGCTTATGTACCAATGGATACAAAATGTCTATTTTAAACCAAATTAAATTCTTAGCCAAATCACAAATTCATTGTAACTTAGCAAATTCATCACAAGAACGCATGACAATAACATAAGTCTCAATCTGGTTCTTAAGTACCATCAACTCAAATGCAGAAAAATTAGATGGATAAAATTCGGCAAAACGAATCAACTTGTGTTTGTCAAAAGCAGAGAATGAATTACTTGGATCTAAACATGCCATACAAAGAAGCAGCTCAGTACTAACCTCAGTGAAACGAGTGTTAAGTTCTTGAAGTTGCATATCTATCACAGTATAAAACAATTCAACTCGATGGTGATGCAAATCTATCATGTGCTCAACTCTCTGTCGTTTGGAAACTTTGACTAGGGCTATAGCATTTACAATGTCTTGATTTTTTCTCTGCAATGCTTGTGACAACTCATTAGTAATTGCCAATATACTTTTCATCATATGTAAGTTAAAATGCAAAATCGAAGGAATAGATTAAACCTAATAGATTACATGCTTCACCCTTTTGTTCAGGATTTAGACCATCTTCTTCAATAACCTCAAGCACATCGCCCACAGAGAATAACAAAAGGATTAAGTTGATCAATGTATTATAATACAAGCCCCAACGTGTACCACCAGCTCGTTTTAGACTTGTCTCTTGATTCAAACTTCGTCCCTTGCTAACTTCACCAATTTCTAATGCTTGAACAAGGTTATTAACTTGGCTCTGTCAAAGCATGTCTCAACGCTTGCATGAACCTCCAACAATATTTATCAGATTAGTAACCAAGCTAAAAAACGAAGCAATATAAATGTGATTTTTTTGCAACAGCTACTAGTGTCAACTAAAGTTGGTGAGCAAAATAGTGAACATAATAAGCATATTCATTCTCCCTCAAAATCAAACTTTTCTGACCATTAAATTCTCCTTGCATATTATTTGCCCCGTCATAATCTTGTCCACGTAATCTTGACAAACTCAATCATGTTGACAAAATAATGACTCAAGAGTCATCTTAAGTGATACTGCAGTTGTGTCACTAACATGTACAATGCCAAGAAATCACTCAAGTACATGACCCTTTTTATCTACATAACTTATTGTAATAGCCATTTGTTCTTTAATTGACACATCACGAGACTCATCAATCAAAACTGAAAATATGTCATCTCCAAGATCACTAATGATAGCTTTTGTGGTTTCATTTGCCGCAACATTCACAATATCTTTCTGAATCACTAGTGCTATCAATTTAAGATTCCCAAGTGCATTCTTCAAAAAAACACTCTTAAAATGTTAATATGCTAAGCTAGAAAATGAAGAAGTCCGAGAAAGTTGCCTTGGTTCTTCGAGTCTTCAGTTTCATCATGACCACGAAATGCCAACCCTTGACGCAAAAGAAACCTAATGCTAACAATGGATGCAGTCAAGCAAGTTCGGTATTCAGTCCTAACTTGATCTGATTGCTTAGATAGAGCCACTTCGATATGTTGTTTTTGATTCATTAGATTCACACAACTTTGTCGTGCTTGGTTATGAGCACTGTTTGGCTGGCCAAAATGAATTTGAAAGCGTTCTGGTTTCTTCCAATTACAAAATCCCTCACTAACGAAAGCGTCACTACTAGCTTGGCTTATAATGGAAGGTCTAAAAAGATAACAATACAAATAGAATGCAGCATCTTCGGTCACACTATACTTAAGCCAATCGCCATACGCATCAAACCAAGCAGGATTAAATCGACGATATCCTTTTCCAAATTTTTTTCAGTGGAAATGCATGATTTCGAGGCTGACAACAACTCTTTTGCAAGTAAAATCTTCGAACTGCATCCATATAATTAGGATGATAATGATTAATTTTAGGCCTTAGAGTTGGATCAGATGGAAGATCTTTCAAGATGGCTTCTAGTTCTACATGACTTTCTTTTAATGGATCATTTTCTTTATCATTGGCTTTACTTTCTTGGACTGATGAGGATGATTGGTCTATTGCTGATTTTCTTTTGAGAAATTTATCCATATTGCATACCTAATAAGAAGGTTTAAACAAATAAAACAAAAAGAAATTGTACAAGAATAATAACCTATAGTGATTCACATACATAGTAATGGAAAGACAATAAGACATACATAGTAACCCATAGTAATTTACATACATAGTAATGGAAAGACAATAAGAATGTGATATTTTGTGGGTTTGAATTCCTTTTAGACTCATTTAACATAAATCATGCATATTTATAAAAAAAAAAAAAAAAAAGTCAACTCTTTTTATAAAATTTGATTTAGTCAAGTAATTTAATGAGGATGAAAGAAAAGATATATAAACAATGATTTCTCAAGCTAATATTTACAAACAATAAATAATTAGTTGTTTATGTTTATAAAGTTTAAAAAGTTTTTGATATTGTCAACAAAGAACTGTTATATAGTATCCATTCTGTCAATTGTTTCCAATCAATTATCTCCTATTACATATATTGGCAAGTGTACATTTTTTACACGTCATTATATTGTTCCCAACTATTTCCAGTTTCCTTAAAACCAGTTTGTGTATCACTTATTTGCTCAACCTTGGCCTATTTCAATTGAAAAACAAACAATACTATTCTAGGAATTAGGAGCGGAAGTGTTGCTCATATTATTCCTTCTCCCTTTTTTGCCATTTCCTCCTCCTAACTATATTTGCCCCTCTATTTGTGTCCAATCTCAATCTTGGTCTCTACATACTCTTCTTTTTTCGGTTTTTTGGGTTTATAGGGTATGAATGATTTTGTGATTTGTTGTGTCTAGTCATACAAGCAATAGTATTGAATGTCAAACTCGAGTCTTTGAAGAAAAACTTTGTTATAAAATGATGCATAGACAATATCAATGATGTTCCTTTACTCTTTTTGAGCTTTTGTTTTTTGTTTATGGAATTGTGATTATTTCTATAATATTAATTAATATGTCTCTTTATGGTAACAGCAGCAGTAGTGATTTTTTCATATGCGCATCCAACACACCCACATGATAAAAAGTTATTAACCAACCGACATCATCTCCTTTTTCTTTTAAAGCTTTTATGGTCTTAACCAAAATGATGCTATCCAATTCGCCCTTTGAAAACTTTTTTCAACCACTTTGCTTTCAATTAGGTTATTCATTCCAAAACAGTGATAAAATCTCTTTCATATTTGATTTTTTGCCTTTCCCAATTGAGAGGATTAAAATTAAAATACACCTACCAAACCAAACTTATTCTCAACAACAATTAAATTAAAGGAACAAATTGGAATGATACATGATCCAACCATCAGTAGTAAATGAGGCCTAATTCTTGATGAATGAATAATTTATTTTTTTGTCCTATTTTTCATTATGCATAGGGACGTCTGGGCATTGCCGCATTGACTAAATGATAAGGGCCCCTTCAAAGACTCTGGTTGGCCATTAGGAGCAAGATTGAGGTTTAGTTATACTTCAAATCTCAAATTCTAAATATATAATACTCAATTTTATTGGAAAACTGCAATAACAAAAGTTCTAAAACTATGAAACATTGATTGAATAGAGAAAATTAGGGATTTAGCCTTTAGGATTAGGGACATTACCTTTTGATAAATTGATGAAAAGTAGTGTTGGTTCAGCCGTTCAGACTTGGAAGGAAAGTTCGGTGAGAGTCTGAGAGAGACTTGAGAGTTAGAGCACCTGCACCATGAGAGAAAGAGGGAAGAGAGGTTCTTGGCGTGTGTTGTTGTTCTGGTATTGGTAAGAGTTCAAAAATCAAAAAATCTTTTCTTTTCCCAAAATGTCAAAGTTCTATAGTGGGCAAAATGTCAAAGTCTTATAGGGGGCAAAGTGTCAAAGTCTTATAAGGGGCAAAATGCAAATAAATATAAATATTTATCGAATCTGAAATTTTTTAAAGTTTGAGTGGAGGCCGTGGTCCCCACTCATCTTTAATTAAATCCGTCGCTGCTTGCTACTGTGCAGAAAATGTAGGCACACAACAGGCATGCGCACATGTTGGATCAGTGCACTAGTGCATGCTAGAGTGTTGCGTGCGCGGGGAAAATATAGGTGTGGGCATTTGGGTTGCTTAGGGCAAAACAACAAACAAATAGGTGATGGGCAAGTTAAGTTGGGATAGTGATTGGTGGTGAATGGTTGGGTTTTCCAGCCAAAATCAATCACAAAAGCACTCCAAATAATCAACCAAACAAATTCCAAGCTTAAGTTTCATAAAAAAACCAACATTCAACAACCAATTTCAACAAAAATGCAAACAAACCCTAGATGGAATGGCAGATGACGAACAATGGGTTGTGGATGGAGGTTTTGTAGGGCATGTGTCAGTGAGTCAAGGGTGGTGGTGGGAGGGGTTGTCATCACCAGAATTAGCTGGAATTTGGCAGAGAACATTTGCGTGATGCAATTGCTATTGCCGGTAATCAGTGGCTGCTGTGGTTAGGAAAGATTGGAGTTTTGTTGGGGGGAGTAAGGACGTGATGATGGTGGGGTTGGGGAGGTTTAACATTGTTGGAATCATGCCAATTTGGCCAGAGAATAGCAGTCGCGCGGTGAGGAAGAGGGTTGTGGGAAACGACAAAATTCGATCAAAATGTTGGTTAATTGACCATCTTGCCCTTATTTATAATAGACTTTTTACCATCATACCCTTCTTCATATCAAAATTTACTAATAGATCTATGTTATGGGTAGTAAAGTTGTATTTTGAAATTTTTTGGATGGGAAAATGTCATTAGGCCAAACCTTGGGTGGGAAAAAAGTCGTTTACTTCTAGTATTAATCTAAACAATCTAGAATGAACTTCAACTTCTGCTTCTAATTATTTCATCTTTCTTTTTTATTTAATGTGTGGAAGTCATTCATTTCAAAAGCGTTCTTGAGCGGCCCTTCAAATTGATAAATTAATCTCTATACTAATTGTTAAACAATTTACTAAAGGGAGAACGACAATTTTCCACCCAAGGTTTGGCCAAACGACATTTTTCCACCTGAAAAGTTTCAAAACAACACTTTTCTATCCATCGTTATGTTTCGTTTGTAAAATCAGTTAACTAACATAGTATAAACAATGTAAGGATGAAAATACCCATTTTCTTATCTTCTTCTTTACCTTTCTTCTTTCTTGTCCTTCGCTCTTTTTCTCCTCCTTCTCTTTGTCTCCCCTTTCCCTTCTCTTATCCAAGACCCTATCTACCCAAACTTTGGTGGCTCAATTGGGCCGCCTCTTGCCCAAATTGCGGTGATCACGGTCTGACTGACACTTGCCCAAATTGTGGTGATCACGGTCTGATCGTCGCTTGCCAAATCATGCTGGCATGATATGGCCGAGTGGCGCCAGATCATAGTCGCTCGATTTAGCCAACCACCAATTTTTTAATACATTTTTCTTATGATTTTTTTTTTTCAATTTTGAGGTAATAGATCCTATGAATTTTATGTTGTGTTTTGACATTTTGGAGAGTTTGAACATGGTTAAATCTTGTATTTGTAAGTTGTTAGAGATTTGGTTGTGGAAAAAAAATTGAAATGAATTATTTAATATTTGGTGACGAAGATTTTTTTTTTTTTTTTTGGTGAAAAAGGGAATAGGATGGGGTTTGGCTATTGCAAAAAAACTGGTAATTTGGAGTCGGAGGTGGAGGAGGAGGTGTAAGTGGAGGTGGAGGCGGAGGGTTTGGTGGTGGTGGAGCCATGGAGGAGGAGGTGTTGGAGGTGGTTCAGGTAAAGGTGAATGCTTTGGAGCTAGGGGCGGTGTTGGTGGCGACACTAGAGGGGGTTTTGGTGGTGGTGGAGTAAGAGGATGAGGAGGAGGAGGACGACGACGACAAGGAGTTGGGGGTCGATTAACTGAAGGATCTAGGCATGGGGGTGGCTTTGGTATTTGTGGGGGGTTTAGGAAGTGGAGTTGGTAGAGGCACAGGTGCAGAGGAATAGTTGGCGACGAGGTTGGAGGAGGGATAGGTGGGGGTTCCAATCATAGTGGTAGGTTTGAAGCTGGTGGAGGTGTAGAAGAAGGTGCAAGTGTAGGTTGTGTGGTACTAGAGGAGGGGCAGGTGATGGCATTGATGGAGGGCATTAAGTTGGTGGTGAAGGTGGAATTGGGATAGGCATTAAAGTAATTTACCATTATATCATTCTTTAATTAAAGTTAACGAACAAATCATAACAATGGATGGAAAAGTGTCGTTTGACCAAACCTTGGGTGGGAAATTGCCGTTCTCCCTTTATTATAACATATATAATATAATCAACATCATTATGTCTAGAGGCCCTATAAATTAAGTACATAGATTCCATTTAACCATAAATTGCGTTAAACCAACCGAAACCAAGCTTATAATAAAAAATCAATTTCAACCTAATCACTTTTAAACGTAAAGTTAGTGACTACTAATTTTGTTTGCTTTGGACATAAATATCATTTTTTTTTTTTTTTCTAGGTTTGCAGCATAGTACCAATATATATATATATATATATAGTAGAAAAT